GCGAGGTGGCCCGCGGCGGCCGCGCCGGAGGTCCCCACGCAGGAAATACTCACGGCTCCCGCAGGCCCAGGCAGCTCCGCGGGGCGCATCCTCTCCAGGGGCTCCGGCCTCCTCGAGAGCAGCCAAACGCAGGGCTGGGCTGCCTCCTCTCTGTGGGGCATCAGATTATTTTAGCACTTGCGGAAGGAACGGACGGAAACTGAAGTCACATGGAGAGCGAGCTGCTCAGCGACCAGCGCTCAGGCTCACGCCGAGCAGGCATCTTAGAAGGAACTGGCCGCGGTGGCGCGGGGGATGGGAGGCCGTGGCGGGAACCGTGGCCCCTTGGCGTCGCTGCCAGGGTTAGCCTCCAAGCAGCGGAGCCGGGAATTGCAGTGCGCGCCCAGCAATGCTAACCGTGTGCTGAAGGCTTCCTTCCCTGAGTGTCTGGGAGCCGGCCACTGGGGGTCCTTGTCGCGGGGCCCCTTTCTCCAAGGTTCTATGCGAGGACCAAGCTGGGGCGAACTTCGGGAAGGGACAGCACACGTGTAGAGGGGCAGCAGTTGTCAAGGGCCACAGCCCCAAAGGGTCATCCATGCCTGTAGTCTTCATTTTTACCCACTCAGCTAATCCTTATTAATAATCCCTTTTGTGGGCCCACAAAAAAAAAAAATGACGCTACAAAAAACAAACAAACAAACACAACAGAAAGGAATAGAAATTGCTTTGTGGCAGGCTATCAGAGAGTGCAATCAGCTTCATCCCTGACTGCATCCCTGACTGGATGGGTTTTTCTACCTGATATGTACAAAGTTGTCTGCTAGCTTTTGCCAAGAATTCAGAAGGATAATGGCAACTACTACTATAGCCACCATCTCGGGGTGCCGGGCACTGTGCTAAGAGCTTCAGCCGGCTCTGGAGCACCTGTTCTCGGGAGCTTCCCATCCAGTGGGGAAGGCAAATATTCACTGAGCTGCCGAATGCATGCCCCGGGGAGTCAGGGGTCTCCAGCTCTCTGCTCTCATTCCTGTCCCAGCTAGAGCCCTGAAGTGTGCTGCAGGGTTGGATCACCTCTCCTGCAACCCTGTGGTCTGAGATTCTGCACGGCATTGTTATCCTTGACAAGTTCATCCTAAGAGAACAGGAGCTGGCACCAGCAGATGGTGTAATGGCTATGTCACTGGACTCCCACGTAGTTGACTGCGGTTTGAGTCCTGGATCCAGTGGCTTAAACTCACGCCAGGAGGGTGTGCTTGAGTACCCAAGATGCCAAGAGAAGGATAAAGGAGAAGGGATTGTGGCGTGGCCATCCTCCCTGGGGGTGATTTCTCGCTTTCTCTCTCTGTGTCTCTCTCTGTCATTCTGGCGAGCACATGCACCCTATGGCAAAAACCTCTCCAAAAAGAGAGAGAGAGAGAGAGTAGGAGTGAGTACTCTCTGCTCCGGACAGTCAGCCCATCCACTGTGCTCTCAAATGGTCACAAACCAAAGTTTCTGATTCAGGCCTTTTTCTTTCTTTCTTCCTTTCTTTCTTCCTTCCTTCCTTCCTTCCTTCCTTCCTTACTTCCTTCCTTCCTTCCTTCCTTCCTTTCTTTCTTTCTTTCTTTCTTTCTTTCTTTCTTTCTTTCTTTCTTTCTTCCTTTCTTTTTTTTTTGGAGAGGTTTTTGCTATAGGGCGCGTGCGCTCACCAGACAGACAGAGAGAGACAGAGAGACAGAAATCACCCCCCGGGGGGATGGTCACGCCGCAATCTCTTCTCCTCCATTCTCCTCTCGGGATCTTGGGCACGCACGCACACACGCCCGGCGTGAGTTTTAAGCCACCGGGTCCGGGACGTGAACTGCGGTCGACTACGTGGGAGAAGAGTGACATAGCCATTACGCTAACTGCTGGTTCCCAGGCCTTTTTCTTCTCACAGTACGTGTGCTCTCTACTCCCGTGCCTTTATGTATGAAGCATATGCTGACATGTTGATAATTCCCACATTTTCATCCGAGCCCCCCATTCTCCCCTAGAAGAGACAGAGGGTCCTCAATGGCATTTGTAACGGACTACTGTTCAACACCTAGACTCTCAAAGTTGCCAGAACACGTATCCCAGGCCGAACTCTTATCCTCTGTCCTATGGTTTCTCTCCCAGTATGGCTGTCACCTTTCATGGCACGCGCAAACCAAGTAGTCCTACACCTAAACAGCTTCACCCCCACATCCCATGGGTCACCAGTTCCTGCTGACTCTGACTCGGAGGTATTTCTTGAATCCAACCTTACTCTTCGTCCTTGGGCCCATGCCCTGAGTCTAGACCTCATCAACTCCTATCTGGATCATTTTAGTTGCCTCCTTCAGCTGGCCCCCTGCACCTGATCTTGTCCCTTTCCAGTGTAGACGCCACCCAGCAGTCATGGGCACCTCTCTGAAATGTGTGTTGGTTCGTCTCGCTCCCTGCTTAAAACCCTTTCAGGACTCGCCGTCGCATCCCTTACGTGGATCTGCAGCTCGAAACCAGGTTTGACAGGTTTACGTGTTCCTAACTCATGCCTAAGGACAGGCTTGTTGGGGCTCCAGATGCCCCATCCCCTCCTCATCCCATGAAATTCCACTTGCACATGTTTTGTACATTGGGATTCTTCTACAGAATTCTTTCTAGACAGGCAGCAGCTACCCTTAAAACCAATGGTCTCGAGGGTTGTGTGGGAACAAGCTGGTTGGTTGGAAAATGGCACCAACAGCTCTTTCTGGTGTAGCAGTGAGCTGCCTCAGCAGGCGAGACCCTAAGACATCCCCCTGAAGCTAGTGCAGATGTGCAGCTGAGAGCAGAATGCTCCTCACGCCTGCCAGGCTGTAAGCTTGACCGTGCAGCTTCCGCATCTCCATTTCGGCTGGGTCCTCTGAGCCCCCGAACACTCTGCTGTTCGAGGCAGAGGGGATCAGTCCTACCTCTCAAACCCAACCTCCCCTGCCCCGCCATGTACACCCCTCCACAGGACAGTGAGAGTCTGGGGGACAAAGTGCATCTTTCTTTGAGCCTGCTCCATGCATTGTGGTGTTTGCTCTCTTACGGTGGACGTGTCAAGGGTAACAATGCCACGCAGAGTCACCACCAGGCTGCTAGAGAGGCCCCAAGCCTGCAGCACACGTCAACATTCTTGATGAGACAGGGAATGAGAGCGCAGATCTAGGGACTCTGTCCGTTCCCTAGGCCGACTGTCGGCCTCCCTCACTCAGCGTGTAGCAGCGCGGTTAGTATTTGCCTTCTCCGCTAGATGGTGAGCTCCTGGGAGCGGGAGCTCTGAGAGCGAGTGTACCAATCTCAACAGTAAGAGCGTTTATTACTCAGCAGCGATAAAGCCAGTCAACAGCACCCGGAATCTCCGAGAAGACCCGAGGAGAAGGGAAGGAGCCAGCAGCTCCCAGTTGGAACAGAAGGTCCTGCTCGCCTCCAGCCTCTGCTCACAGCTACCTCCCACGCTCCAGCACATGGTCTACGGGTGGGTTCATCCAAACCGTCTGTCCACAGTTTCCCTAAACAGAATGAACGCTCCCAGCCTATACTCACTCCCTCTGAGCTTCCTTTGTTTGGCGTGGCCTTTCCTCTCCTACCCAACCCTCCCCATCATGAGGGCACGGTTTTGGCTCTGCCTCCTCTGTGAAACCTTCCCCACCATGCCCACCATGATGGGCTCTTCTTCCTCTGAACACATGGTACTGGTGTCTGCCGTATCCTTTGGCCTCATGGCATCACTCGTGTCATGATTTATATATTTTTTGTGTTTCCGCCTTGTTTCCATAGTTACACCTTTGCGGGTAGAGGTCATGTGTTATTCCAAAGAATATTCTGGCCAATGCACAGGAAGGGACTCACAAAATATTTGCTCCCATGGGGCCAGCCGCATGCCCTAGTGGTTAAGGGAGCTGATCCTACATGGCTGACCCTGTTCGAATCCTGGGCCTGGTGGCTTAAAAAATGTGCCAGGTGCCTGTGTGTGTGTGTGCCCAAAATCCCGACAAGGTGGAGAATGGAAAAAATGGATTGTTGTAGGCCACCCTCCCCCAAGAGTGCGTATGCCCTTTGGCAATTAGATTTTTTTGCTCGAGGAAATAAGGAAGAAAGAGAATAAAAGAAGAAATGCAGGCAATAACACTGCCTTGTCTACAATTGTCTAGGTGTGGCTTCCCAAGGATTTGCCTTTTTCCCTCTTTCTTAAATTAAGCTTCATAATAGTTTATCATTTGTGATAAACTATTATTTCTCAGTTTCCCAAAGAGATCAAACTGGCTTCTGCCTTCCCTCCAACTTTTTTTTTCCAGTTGACAACCAGATGCTATTAAACCGTGAAGGGAGAGCAGGGGGTAAACCATGCAAGTGATCCAATAGAGAAACACTGGGATTGTGTGTGTGTGGGGGGGGGAGGGCGGGTACAGCCCACTGTGCCCAGCAATGGAGTTGCTGGCGCAAGGTCTTGGGCCTCTATTTTTATTTTTAGCTATAATTCCTTCTCCTCCATTCTCCTCTCAAGATTTTGGGCAGGCACACACATGCCCAGCACAATTTTCAAACCACTTGGTCAAGGACTTTAACCATGGTTGACCAAGTGGGAATCTAACTGCCTTGGCCACCACGCCACCTGCTGGCCTGGGTCCTCTTGTCCCCTTCTCTGGTGTTTTCCTGTGGCCTGGGCTCTCAGCCCCTGGCCAAGGGCAGGTCAGCCCCTTCATCCTGGCTGTCCCCTTGGCAGCTGGGCCTGACCTCGCAGGGAGCTAGTGCCCCCCCCCCCCCGCTTCTCCTGGCCTTGGCACATGACAGGGAGGGGATTTCCTTTGGGGCCGTCACTGGGAATCGTTCTCTTGCCCCACATCAGCTGCTGCTAGGGGCGAGTCTTCAATAGTTTCATTTCCCTCATTTGGAATGAAGTTTTTAAGAACCAAAAACCAAAAAAAAAAAAAACCAAAAACCAAAAAAAAAAAAAACACAGAGGAAGGAGAGGCCGCCGCCCACACGGGTCCCACTTGCTCCTTGCGATGCCAGTACTGGATGAGCTCCAGGGCAGGGCCAAGCCTGAGGGCAAGGGGCACGGATGCCATGCTGGGGCGGGGGCAAGGGCTCTTCCTCGTGTGTCTGCTCCTCTCCTCTGGCCGCTGGGCAGGGGCTCAGCCCCTCCTGCTCCCTGTGGCCCATGGCCTCCCTCTGCCATTTGGCTCTGGTGACTGCCCTCTGTGCGGACACAGCCTCTTCCTTTTCTGGAAACACTGACAGCACTGCCGTGCGAGA